AGGAAACCTCGATGATTGGTCTCCAAACTGAAGCCGTCCAATGGGTAACTTGTGATGCCTGTCTAAGGAGGAGATCCTAGCTACCACATGATCCGAAGCTTAAGCTGTAACCAGTGCGGACAGACATACTAACCAGCACATAAAGCGGTCTATACTTAGTGATCGCTAACGGCTACGTGGTGGTGGCTTATTCAGCGGCCTAACCATGGTGGTGTAGGCAGGCAATCTTCTAACTGGTATTCCGCAGTTCAGCAATGGCTGCTAGGCGGTTAGACAATTTTATGCGATCGTTATTGTGACGACCATGGGGAACATTGTTGCCATTGAAGTTGGTAGACCAACCTGGAACTGAACAACGAAAGTTCTAAGTTTGCTTGCTTGTATCACAGTTGATGAGTAAACACAAAATAAGAGGATTCCAAGTGTGGCGTTGATACGACGTTAATGAATGTTCATTTGTCTCCACACCCATGGGCGGCTTTGTGAATCAGTTATCGCTTCAGTGTCTCCATGTATGGCGTTATGTAAAGGTCATAGGAACCTATGTATTCTTAGGATAATTAGGCTTTACTTCCATATGACCGCCCATACATGTTGAGACGCTTTGACAAGTGGCTCTCCGAATGGTGCCATTAGAAGCACGGTCAATGCAGATGAAACCACCCTATAATGTCCATGGACTGGAATGCTATCCTCATGAAATCGGCATTACTCAACAAAGAAACACCTAAAGGGGCTACAATGACTACGATATTTACACATGCCACATCGTCCTGCTGGAAAAATACGCAAGGCTGATAATTAGTGGCGACGCACGCATTTTACTCTGGTAATTCATGGGAGTACTTGGGAACAAACATTTGGCTTACCCACGGGCGTTCCTACAACGTGTTTGCAATCATTTACAAAAGCGACCACGCCCACTAATCTTGCTATGGACCACTATTTTAGCTAGTCTTAGAAGCAGTCATGTGTGATTGTTAAGGCAGTGAAAGGTAATCAGAAACAATACAGTACTTCGCACGAAGGAGGTAAAGCTAGAACTTGTTCGGAAATAGAAATTTTAAAACCTTTACAGCTACAAGGTTCCTGTGCTGTGTTGTTTCAGTTGGCCGTACACTCAGGTGAATAGTGTAGATACGTACTGCTGATGTAGTCAGCGAATTGTATATTAAGGCCAAGTTCGCTTGGCAGGTAAGACTAACAGTGGATCTGTAGCCATTGTTCCAAAGAGGAGGGTTCCTAGTGTGGCGGTGACACGACATTAGTAAGTGTTCGTTCGTCTACACACCTGTGAGCCACTTCGGTAGTCAGTTACCGTTTCAGGACCCATGGACCTGCCGTTTTGTTTAAATGGTACAATGCATGTCAATCCTGCGTTTCAACATGATATTTACGCTTCACTTCCAAGTGATTGATAAGCTTGAAATACCAAGTGACCCTACGGCCCTGATATGATCTGCCAACGAGCACTGCATACGCACTACAAGCATAGAGTTTGGAGCAATTTTCCTCCTTCAACAATGCCTCCGGAATTACCTACTTTCCAAGGACAAAATGTTTTCCGCGTAGTAGCCAAGTCGATAACAATGTGTGTCACGGCGTGCACACATGAATGCTTCTAAGACTAGCTGAAACAGTGGTCCATAGCATGATTAGTGGGCGCGGTTGCCTTTGTAAATGATTGCAAACAAATTGTAGGAATGCCCGTGGGTGAGACAACAGTGTTTCTGTTCCAAGTACTCACCTGAATTGCCAGAGTAAAATGCGTGCGTCGCCACTAATTATCAGCCTTGCGTTTTTTTCCAGCAGGACGATGTGGCATGTGTAAATATCGTAGTCATTGTAGCCCCTTTAGGTGTTTCTTTGTTGAGTAATGCCGATTTCATGAGGATAGCATTCCAGTCCATGGACATTATAGGGCGGTTTCATCTGCATTGACCGTGCTTCTAATGGTACCATTCGGAGAGCCACTTGTCAAAGCGTCTCAACATGTATGGGCGGTCATATGGAAGTAAAGCCTAATTATCCTAAGAATACATAGGTTCCTATGACCTTTACATAACGCCATACATGGAGACACTGAAGCGATAACTGATTCACAAAGCCGCCCATGGGTGTGGAGACAAACGAACATTCATTAACGTCGTGTCAACGCCACACTTGGAATCCTCTTATTTTGTGTTTACTCATCAACTGTGATACAAGCAAGCAAACTTAGAACTTTCGTTGTTCAGCTTCAGGTTGGTCTACCAACTTCAATGGCAACAATGTTCCCCATGGTCGTCACAATAACGATCGCATAAAATTGTCTAACCGCCTAGCAGCCATTGCTGAACTGCGGAATACCAGTTAGAAGATTGCCTGCCTACACCACCATGGTTAGGCCGCTGAATAAGCCACCACCACGTAGCCGCTAGCGATCACTAAGTATAGACCGCTTCATGTGCTGGTTAGTATGTCTGTCCGCACTGGTTACAGCTTAAGCTTCGGATCATGTGGTAGCTAGGATCTCCTCCTTAGACAGGCATCACAAGTTGCCCATTGGACGGCTTCAGTTTGGAGACCAATCATCGAGGTTTCCTTCAGATAGGCATCAAAATAGAACAGAAGGTGGTGCTCAACCACTTTCATTGGACTGTCTGTCGCTTAGGCTGGGGGCTTCCAACCGGTGTCCCATTGGCTAACGTCCCATGACCCATGAGAGTGTCAACGACACCAAAACAGCGTTCTTAGCCTCGCTGACTTGAAAGCACTGTACGCGCTTTCGAAAATGTGCCACGCCAAAAGCTTGGTACAAAGCGCTAACATGCGTGTAAAGTGGTATAGAGACTCGAACCCCTTCGTTCTTATTACTTCTGTGTAACTGGCGCTCCCCCCCTAACCTACGGCCGGTGGCCGAGTTGTTCAGGCGCCTGCCTTGCAATCCGCAGGTCGCGGTTCGAGTTAATGCAGACGCAGGAGACCTCGTAGTATCCCCAGACAACGCGCGAGTGGTGGCGGTCGGAGCGAGATGGTAGAGGGGCGCACCAGCGTACAGCTAAGACATTTAGTTATCTATCTCCCGTAATATCTTCGTTAATCACGCTTCCGGTGAACAGGTCTCGTGGAGTCATAACACATAACGCTCGTTTTTCACAAGGTGTTAATATCTTGAAAGTATTTGCAATTCATGCTACATATGGCTGCAGTTATAAAAATAAACCATCTTTCCTGCCCCCTGCTTACTTGTAGATTCCGAACTGCTATGGTACCTTGAATATCTGGCTTAAAGAAACTAGTTGAAATATGTTCCGCTGCGTTCCGTGTATACTTTATCATCATTCAATTGCTCGAACTTCATATAACTTTGCAAACACAAACAGACGTTGTTATCCTATTCGATTTCTACTGTCAAGCTAAGTTAGTTCACTGCTGCAATTTTGCTTTTGACAACGTGCAAGTAAACTAGTCATTTTCATTTTCCCCGCCCTTAATCCACTCCTGCTAGTTATGCGACACTACGAGAGAGATTACTGACTCGAAAGAACTGCCGACGAATTTGAAGATGACAGCCATCAGCTGGGGTGGAGTCAGATCGATCGAGAGAAAAAAGGTGTCATTGACTCGAAACAACTCTAATTTATTGTGAAGTACGATAATTATTTTATTCCATATTCACCCTGTTCAACATGCTGCATAATGAAAATTTGCGGCCGTACTTTGGAAACTGTCGTAAACGCATATTTTCCATTTTCAAAAAAAACATGTTAACGCAGCAAAATGTGAATCACAAATAGCCCTGCAGTCCCCTACATCTAGATGTACAGAGAAATAAACAATAGTAAAACCAAAAGCTGATTACCTCTCCAGGTTGACCAGTTCATTTTGCATTGCTTGAATGTTCAGCATGTAAACCTTATGGATTGAGACCCCTGTATGTTGACCACTTCTGTACGTTGACTACTTTGGTCCAGCTCCTTGGGTGGTCAAGTGTATAGCTAAATCTAGACAGCCACTACGTTAGATTAGAGAATATAGGTCAATAAATCCTGGGAATCCGTCAACTGGAGATATGCATCGGATGCGAACGTGTTAGTTAGATGTGGGATCAAACAGAAGTCCCGCAATGTTTGGAAAAGACTGTGACGTAAGTAGACTGCCGCATCAGGGAGCTGTTTCGTATTTGGATGAACTTGATTAAGGGATGGGCCTGGAACGAGCAGAAAGCAATAAGCTGAAGAAGCAAGGGACACCAACCAAATGTGGAGAACCCTGGTGACCATGGGATACGCGCCCCATCGGACAGCTGATGAAGATAAACGCCATCTGATGGCGTTCACTCATTATACCGGCAGTTTGCGCACGTGAATGGGTCAGGACCCACTGCTTTCTCCTGTATCCTTTATGTGCAATAACCCATATTATACCGTTCGCAAGACGCTGCCTACCAGTGTAATAATGAGGGTCGAAACGATTTTGTATAAAGGGAAAAACGTTTGCAAATGATGTGCGCCAAAGCGCCACATATTTGGCCCGGAGAAGATGAACGGCCCTAACACTTTAGATGGAATCACATGTGATGACACAGTAAGACGTCATGATAAAAATTGCATTAGGATGCGGCTGCAGTAACTGGCCGTCGACTTGCAGCCACAGAATGGACAAAGCAAGAGGCAAAGAGAAACCCGTCTCCTACTTGCTCAAGTGCATTCGGTAAGTTAAGGTAGCCGAGAAATAAGATGTGAGCCGCTGTTGTTGAGAATAAAACAAGCAATCTGAAGGCAGTGAAGGAACGCTTCTGATCAACTACGACACATCCGGCATAAGAACCGCACGAGTTTGCCAATGGAGTTTTAGCTGGAGATTCAAATATTGCAGAATATAGCGCAAGCGCACAGTGCCGCACGCATCAAAGTGCGAGCAAAATGTCAGCTGGTCGCCGTAAATGACCACCACAAACACCGTTACTAATGTTATGGAAGAGTAGAATACACAAACGGTTACTTAGACCTACTTACCGACGAGCGAACCGGTGCACGGGAATGTTCCACTTTGACCAGAAGGCCGGAACTGATTCCGCATTCCTGTGGTTGCATAAATAGGGGCAAGCAAGATACCATGAAATGACGAAACGGCTTGGAGAGACTCAGATGTGGCCAATTTCAGAGAATAGATGCCAGAGTAGGTAAACGGATGGAAATAACCCCAAAACGCACCATAGGGTAGCTAGTGGTACAGCATTGTTGAGTAATAATTGGCATGTATTGCAGTAGATCTAGAGCAGAAGGTCGCATGCGACCATTTCGAAGTGATAGCTATATGCAGAGAGAAAGATGAACAGCCTAGCATTGCAGAGAACAAGCTTCATCAACTCATAAGCAAAGGCTAAAAAACCACGAATTAGTTGACAAAAGCTAAATTAGTGGTCCGCAGCCCTTGAACGGTAGTCGAGCCAACAAAAGCACAAACGACAATTAGGTGAGTTCGAATAAACTTATGGATAAAACAGAAAAAAGAAAATCCCAATACGATCCGAGTGGGGTAAACTGGTGCCAATGGTAGATGATCGAACCGGAAATGAGTACACAGCAGGACGCCAGGGGCAATGAGGCTGTCCGAGATTTACTGCAAGTTGAATGAGTCCCACAGTCGGTCGGTGGACGACGGCAAGCTGTCGCCGCCCTTCAATATCTCCATCGGTTTAAGACAAGCATGCCAGCTGTCACCTTCCCTCTTCAACTTCCCTACTGACCAAGCTGTGGGGACCGCGTTCACAGGACCCAGGAGCTGCTTCAAGGTGAACGACTTATTGACTTGAAGTATGGTGATGACATTGCCCTCATCTGTGACAGTTCACAAACATGCCAACTTGCACTGGACCGTGTAGCAATGGCTGTCAGCCGTTTTGGGCATTGCTTTGCACCATCGAGGTGAAAAGCTTTCATGCAAGAGGGGCAGGGACCACATCCTGAACTGACATTTGGTATGGGTCAAGCAGAAGTTGTTCAAAAATGCAACTACTTAGGCAGTTGTATCAGTGTCCCTGAAATCGAAGATTAGACCACCAACCGTATAGCAAAAGCTCGAGGCGCCTTTGCTAACCTTCATCACCTATGGCGACGGCGCGACATCACTCTGAAGGGCAGAGTTTACAATGCAGCAGTATGTGTGACCCTAATGTACGGTAGTGAAAGCTGATCCATTGGATCGGCAGATATAAAGAGGCTAGGTACGTTCGACCATCCATGGCTTCGCAGTTTGGCTCATATCTGAGGAACACCGAGTGAGCAAGGAGCGTTTTCGGCGCCTTGTATTTGATGCAGGAAAAGCGAGTGAACTGCTCAGCACTGATATTTCACACATCAGGCTCCGGTGGTTGGGCCGCGTGTTGCGCATGCCAACACACCGACTTCCGTGACCTGAGTTGTTTGCGCGCCGGGAGTGTGGATGGAAAAAGAGGAGGCGTGACAAAGCGATGACTCGGTCAAGAGGAATGAAGGTCCTTAGTTTCACGTTGGCCTCAGTTAAAACCATTAGACTCCCTGTTTGGAGTCCGAAAAAAGGAGGAACACGTTTCGCGGAGTGCACGGATCGGACTTCAGTGAGGATGACCAACTTCTTTGCGTTTATGGTTGTATGGAGCTGATTGCCAGAAGTGACGGCTTTGTGGCTGCTTGAAACGATTAGCAGCGCAGTCTGAAGGTAAGACCTAAGCTCCGACAACCTGTAGAAAAAGCCTATCAAAACTGACTTTCGCCGATGACTATCATCAAACTTGAATGTGGTCAAGAATAGGAACGTTGAGCAGATTGTAAAAGCCATCTGGGATCGGTACTTAGAAATGGAATGCCGTCTAAGTATTCATGGAGTCGGTACCCATTGACGTGGTAACCCTGAGAGGTTTGAACTGTTAAACTATGGTGGATAGTCAGATTTCCCTTTTCGGCATAATATGAAGCACAGAGTAGTCATCTGTTGATCGCTTCTCCGAGCTTGACAAAGTGAATGCATACGTTTCATGAGCATGCGAGGCGGCATCATCAGTGCAGTGATATGCAATGTACAACCCTGTTTAATGAATTGTCAGTCCGTGATCGACGGGCCCGCCATCATCCAGGCTCGGAAAAATGACTATCAGACACGAAGATGTAAAAGTAAACGATTGAATATTGAGCTTACGTAAGATCCAGTGCCCTTTGTTTAGGATAACTAACCCGCCGCCTACTTCATTCGACTTATCATCATTCAATAAAAATCATTTGAATTCTTGAATCACTTAACTCATTAGTGTAGCTGCGTAATCGCTGTATGCAAATTGATCCGCTAAGCGCGCTACTGGTATCCCAAAGTATTAGCCACCAATCTGACTAATAAAAAGCAATTTTTCATTCCGCAATTACGACCATGTCACTGCACTTATTAATGATATGCCATTGATCATTGCGGAGGCTCTGTCTGGCGGGTAGATGACCGCAGCACTTGGACAATCTAGCTGTCTCGCAGTCGGATTAAGCTGATGTGTAGACGGTTTTAGATACACGTACTTAAAGGGCTGTACGATGCATTATGTACTTCGCACCTTCAAAGAGTAAGAAAGTAGTAAAGGAATGAGATAACGTGTCACTTATTCTTCCCATCAGCCAGTAACGCTGCAAGGTGGTTGACAGTTCGCCTATCGGTACATAACTGCGTCGAATGTATAGATAAGTCCCACCCTCCTAAAGCGTTGTCACGGACCTGCTCAGTGTTCAAAATCGCGGCCATTGTCGTGTTTGCCGGTCAAGGTTAGAGAATGCCGCAGCACGGCCGCTGCGACTATGCAGTAACATAGACATGTGTACTCTGTGCCGAGGAGTTCGAGAGATTGGTTGTTTTTAACCATTATTGTTTGTGTAGCATCGAATGAGACACCGAGCAAAGATTGCAGAAATCTAACTGGCAGCGTCAGGCAGTAGGTGCTTTGTCATTGTGCTACATTGGCATTTGCAGTTGAGCCGTTTGCTTTGGACGGACGATGTTCGTCGTACCTCTATCACCTGTTATAGCGGAGGTAAGAATAAGCCACCGCTCCCCGTTGTTTTGTGTTTTGTCAGACTCACCCTGCCCTCTTCTCCGGTTCCTCGCATACGTTCACTTTTGCCTCACATTTGTGATTAGCTTGTATGGACACTGAATCTTATGCTTATTCGCTTTTACTCTTACTTTGTGTATTCCGTTCGTTCGTGAGGCAACTTATCAATCCCCCACTTTTTGAACCGAAAAGTTTCGACTGATCGAATGCCAGCCTTTCCGCATAGCTTATGTATATGCCTTAATTTGAATATCGTGATTCTGTTGCATGGACAGACGCTTGGTGGCCGGTTTGGTGTTCGGCGTGAACATTGTTTGTTGCCCGGTCGTTGGTATTCTCACTACTGTTAGTGGGTGGAAGCAGTCGTGGGACTCCGACACATCACCCTTCTACTTGGTTGAGTTATGCATACCAGTACTGCATGTGGCTGCGCGAAGCCACACGGTAAGCTGCAGAAAGAATGGACAAACTGAACTAAAGGCCAGGTTGGGTTGATGCGTGTCACCATTTTGGAAGGGAGTAACGGGGTTCATCATATCACTGGTTAGGGATATTTCCCTGATGCACTGCAGTTGCAAAATCCTTGAAGGTGCTGAATCAACTCATGAAATCCATAGCAGTATTGTCATCTGACAAGTATGCGTTGTCGCAGCGTTTTAGGTGAAGTTCCATCATTGTTTAGTTGCACATTTCTGTATTCTTAGTTGGCAGTAAGTACTGTCTATTATTGTTATTTGTATGGTTAACTACGTTTTGGCGGCTGGATCCATCGCAATTCGCCGGTCGAATTACAGTTGACGCAACGAATTAGGCTATTCAGGTGCAGTGCGCGCACCGGAGAATACAACGGCTGCAATGCTAAGTTCCACTTGTGCACATGAGGACAAGTACTGCGAGGTATGAGGTTGCGGTTATGTGATTTCAGCAATTCCCAGCTTTTCCAGTCGACTAGCCCATAACATGCATGGAGTGTGGAAGGCGACCCAATCGAGGGAAGCACAGGTCCAAACAAATTTCGTTCAATATGTTAAGAGAGAATGAACGTGACTGAAGTACAGCGGAATAGAATCGCTGTAATGAGATCAACCACTTCCATAATACCAGTCCATTGTCATCACATCTCACAGCTGCCCACAAAGCCATCAAAACAACGGGCCAAACCTGTTCTACAACCGCGACAGCTATACCTATATCAGGTAGTACACCTATGGTTGGCAACATCCGGTTCCGGATTTGCCTGTCACTGCGGACTCCATAAGAACAGCCCCAAGATGCTTGTGCCTACACAAGGACCATGGGTGGCTTGCGCCGCACCACCCATAGCTAAATCCACACACCCATATAAAGTGTAAACCCGAAGGTGTAAGACCGGGTGGCATGCGGATGGGAGCCACATTCTATCAACGGAGCCGGCCCACACTGGTTCAATAAGCAGAGCAGAAGCATTCGTGTCTAACCACTTTGGGAATCATGCGTACCAGACCTAAATCTATAGACGCATTCAAAACCACTACTTTGAGAACAATTTCAAGGTCTACAAATCACGGAATATGAGGACAGTCAATGTGTGCAGATAAACAAGACAGCGTTGTGTTTGATATCCCTTCGGATAACCCGAGCCAATTAACGTTTGTGCATTGCTCATCAACACGACGTCAAGCAAACATAAAATACACAAATTTGGCCTTTGCATCCTTCCATCTGGCCCTCAAGTCGTGCTCATCAGGGTAGTGAAAACTATTCTTTGACTTAACCAAATCGAGAGGATGTGTCCAGATAAAGGCATCTTGTTAGCGACCATTGCTCCTCAGACCGATGAACTAACAAAAATCCCCCTTGCCACTGATATTGTGATGAACGACTTGCTTGATAACAGTGAAAGTGGTTATGACTTAATGGAAGCAAAGAAACGAGAAGTAAACATACTTGACAACAAACCTTGGCTCTGCCAGATGGGAAAAAGAGACGGTCAAAGTAGAATAAGAGTAAGGATTTTCATCAATGTAATCATGCTGGAGTAGAGAAACACAGCCCTCAGCAAAATAAGCACAAGAGTGAACTGCGTAAAGTCAGTCCAAAACAGTTGCGCCCATTAGCTTATTAGTAATACGGGATAAAACAGTGAATACTGACGAAGTGAGACCCTGAAAAAAACGTTCTGCGACTCCTTCGGTGATGTTGATATGATACTCCCAGAGAATGTATTTAGATTCACAAAAGATGAGCTATCCAGCATAGACTTGAATCTGGACACTATTGCAAGAACGATCAGTTTGCTCATGTTGTCTTTCTACCCTGGCCCGTATGGCATACCTTCTGTGCTGTTGATACTAGGGGTCCAGACGTCCCACTTATACACCTGAACACTCATGTTTACAATCAGATGCATACCTTCCTTATCACCTGAAAACATGCAATTGTTCTAGCAACAAACAAAAATGCCTACGGCCAAGACATAAACAGCTATTGCCCAATTAGCCACGCGCCTGTTGGAGCAAGATCGATGGATAGAGTAATCAAACAACAAATCTGTGAGTTTTCGTTGTCAGGCAGCATAATTAGCAAGTCACAAGATGAGCTTTGACCGGCCAAATCGTCAAATGTACCAATTCGAGCTTTTGTTAAGTCGTGTAACAAAGTCAAGTTTGTGCTTGTTATCGTCTTCCTTGACATGAAGAAAGCATTTGAGCGAGATCCACATGTTTCCTATTGACTAAGCTCCAGTCATTCAGTAGATCGCATAAGTTCATATCGTGATTTTCATCATACTTGAGAGAGCAAACATAATCTGTATAACTGGGTGGTGCGAAATCGAAGCACAGGGCCGTATCTAGCGGCGCCAGTCGGGGTAGCGTTCTAGTCCACTACTGTCACTTCTGTATGTTAACGACGTGTTCAAATGCTCCACTCACGAAAGGCCATTTCGGTATGCGGATGACATCAAAGTTTGCTTCTGACCGGTGGTGTAACATTTGGAAAATGGGACTTTCGCTCGGAAAATGCAACACAATTTCGTATCAATGTAGTCCACCGACCAATGCACTGACAATAAACAGGTCACCTTACGATTAGGGAGACGTGAGTACACGATGCTAGTTCATTGATCTTCGCCGAACATGCAGGATGTGGCTAAGGCCAGATGAGTGATGGGCTGGCTATATTCGTAAGTTCACGGTGCTTATGGAAAATAAACTGTTTAGATGCTGCGCACGACCGAGTCTAGAGTATCGCCCTTCGGCGTTCATCAGTTCGTGAAAAAGTTACAGAATTTCATTGGAGTATGTGCAATGTCTACTCACTTGGCGCTCACTGGAGTCGTCTACAATTAATCGTCATGATGGATGCAAACAGCTCTAGCTAGATCCATTGTAGCTACCCAGGCTCAGCTTTAACCATACACTTCTATTTCAGATGTTGAAGAGCTTGAATGTGAATACTAAGTACCACTACCGGCAGAATGAAAATAAAAGTTACCTAATACGAACTAGACCGTATTCGTCTACCGTAGGGAAAGCCTTACTAACATAGACTCTAGTTCCTTCCGCTAAAGATACGCAGCTAATGGCAATCAGATTGATGTCAACGGTTGCAACATATTGCATGTCTTTACAAAGGTTTCTCAATATAATCCCCATCTCGGAAATTAATGGCCTAGGCTTGTCTGAAGATGAGCCTTGGCAAAAATGTGTAGGCAGCTCCTAACTGACAATAAATACAGTTATGCAAGTTGCTGTTGTTTTCTGCACTTTAGACATGATAACAACATGGTGACCAAAGGTAACATTAGCGTCGCCGTTGGGGGACCAGTCGTGTAATGCTCTTGGGTCTGACTGCGATGCGTATTGCTGTTGTGTAGCAGTCAAGTGGCGGTTCACTAACATACACAAACCGAAACGATGTCGCAGGTAGTTAAACACCAGTGAATGGGACTGACGCACGGTTAATCTCTCTTTGCTATGTTACAGGTGTATATTGACGCACTTTTAATCCGCCGCTTGCTGCTCTAGAGATATGTGGGTATCTACCCACCGTCGGGGCGACCACCGTAATATTCAGCCCTATCACTTACTCCGTGACTCATTATTGGTAACACAAGAACCACAACAGTCTTGTTTCATCCATTCCGATTCACGTGATCGCGGTAGTGCAAGCACGACGCAGCTTTTGAGTCTAGGCGTAGCCACAACTTATCCGATCCCTTTCCAGTTGTCCTTTATCGTTGTATCGCTAGTATTGCATTGACTCGACTGAGCTGGTGCTCGAATGACACTGTTCCATAAACTGTGTATCGTATTCACCTCTTGCTGATGACTTTGACATTTCTATTCCTCCAGCGATACCATGAGAAATCTCGCCGGAGTGAGAGTTCCATAACAGGATAGTATTACTCATCAGCACTTATGGTGAAGGTGAGAAACACCCTTCAACTAACCGTGCCCAAGAAACTAGACATTACAGAATACAGAAACTAAGAAAGTTATGGATATTATGCTAAGTGTAATATTATCCATGTAATGCGAGATCGTTGCTGGACAGAGAAAAGCGAGAAGGGGGTGGACAAAGGAACTCACAACACAAACGCTATTAAGGTGGACTCTTGGCCATGATAACAAGTGTGACCAACCAATCATGTTCATCGTCCTTGGGACCACAGCCCGGTAGTCGGAAGACGCTAGCTGACACCAAGTTCGAAGTCAAAACAAACATTTATAACGCACATTCAATGAGAGATTGCGACCGCATGGTAGCGCGAAGTGTTCTTCCCAGTTATTATTTCACGGCCAAACTTTCACAGGTCTTTATGTCAACATAAATAAGTCTATTTCTTGTGTGTCAAAGATACACAATGTTAATAATTCTGCATCTGTAAATGGAGAATAAACATGATTTATCTATAGATGAAAAGTTCGAAGAGGCAATAGATGGACTCGCACACTAGGAAGAATCGGTGGGTGTTACAGAGAACAGGAGGCAATCGACTTACCACCAGTCGCTATAGAAAAATCGGTCTCCAAAGCGCATGAGTTCACCGACCAAATTGAGAAATGAGTGGAATGAGGAGTAAAAAAATAGCAACCAAATGAGGTGATTCGGGATTGCCAACTTGAGACAACGTTCAGCAACTTGGCTAAGGTTGGACTCCGAAATGGGCGCAACGCTGTTCTTCAAAGTGAGCAGTACCCATTGTTGTGTCAGGCAAAAGATTAGCTGTGTAAGGAATATCTAGAGAAAGTGAAAAGGGGTAATAATATGCGTAATATATTTGGGTACTAGCGACGTACATACTAATTTGTAAAGCAGTTAGTTGCCCACAAGCACAGTGAGAAAACGAAGCTCGGCAGATGCATGCATAATAAAACCAAAGATCACAAGGTGGAAGACAGAAAAAGTAAAGCATTTTTTGATTTTCACACGTCGGGGATAAGAAACCTCTTGGTGAGACATTGACTCAAATGAAAAGCAAGAAGCATGCTACATTCAATCTTCTGCTACTCGACAACTTTTACTTCTGAATAAGGATATTATGTCTTGATTGAAGACTTGATATCATTGGGTGACCCGAATTTCGGTTTATTTCGAGGAAGAGAAACACACCAAAGCTACTATGCCGCAATCCATAAAACATAAGACAGTAAACATAAAGACTACAAAATTAAAAAAGCAACATGAAAGCAAATATCGCATTATGCACTGGGTTTGAGATCGTCATTGGAATGGGAAGCTAAATAGGGGACAGACAAAGTAATTCACAACACAAATGCCACTGAGGTCAGCCCTTCACCATGCCAACTAGTGTATCCAACCAAACGTATCCACCGTCATTCCGGCTCCAGCCAAGCAGTCGCAAGACACCAACAGACGCCAAGTTTCAAGAGAGGGTTTTCATTCCTCTTGACTAAGTCATCACTCGGCATTCCCTCCGCATGTTCCATCCACACCTCTGGAGCGCAAACGCACGTCGCGCGAGTCGGTGGGCTAGCATGCGCAACGCGTGGCCCGGCTATCGGAGCCTGGTGTGTGAAATAACGGTGCTAATTGGTTCAGTTGCTTTATCTGCACCAAATACGCGGTGCCGAAAACGCTCACTGCTCATTCGGTATTCCCTCAGATATGAGCCAAATTGCGAAGGTAGGGATGGTCGAATGTAACTAGCCTCTATGTCTGCCGATCTAATGGATCAGGTTTGGCAACCATTCACCAAATAGTTGAACTCCGAGCATCCGTTCGTTGTTTGGTAGTCGTTCTGTGAAAAATTCCAATGTGCTATTGAATCGTTGTTCACGATTATGTTCCTTAGACCACACAGTCTGGATACTCGAATTCATCAACAAAGATGACCCACAACTTGTTAACAGACCCGACGTAGCAGCGCAATGACGGACAAAGAATATCACCATTTGCAATCGCAACGACAGTGTTGAAATGGAGGTATTCAATACCGAAGTTACCACATGTTTACGCTAAACAAGTATATCTCTAGATGAGGTGGTGGTTCAACTGTTAAATGCACGTTTGTACGATGAAGGGGTGACGTGAAAGTGCACGTGACACTCAGTACTTCACACACAACAGGTAAAAGTAAGTGGCGAGCGATTTATTCCGGGAATTGAATCATCATTATTGCACATTAGCGAAAGGTGAGAAACACGGCCGCTATAATACCGCAAGTCAAAACAACGAGAAACAAATTTAATAGTGAAGGCGATGTGATGAGGGTGATAAAAAAGTTTTGTTTTCGATTGAGAGTGTAAGCAGGAAGACGCACGGGTCCAGCGGCGGCTAAATGTGACGTCAGTGATTTCATGTGTTGCTGCCAGGTGGATGACTGACCACCACGCGGTCGCCCCCAGCGAGCGAATAGAGCGCAACGCGCCATAAGCTCAGGCGTCATACGTCGGATATGACCGAGTCACCTCAACTGGCGCAGCAAAACCAGCTTGTCGAAGGGAATACTCGCATTCCACAAGACGTGACGTCGGAAGTCCTCACTGTGATCACGGCGATTTCACCACTCACGAGCGATCCTCCTAAAACAACCGTTGTAGAAAGTGGAAAGACGACGCACGTCCTCTATGCAACTGGTCAGGACTCGCTCCTTTATAAAACAACTGAAGGAGCAGAGACACTGTAAAAGCCCCCCTATATCGGGATTGGATAACAACGATAGACAATATCTGCGAAGAAGCGATTGGACATGGATGACAAACGAACATACGGGACAGAGCACAGATTAGTAATGTGAGATGTTTAACAGTACACTCGATGTTATCAAAAGGATATATATATATATATATATATATATATATATATATATCATAGAGATAAAACGTTCCAAAAGCATGGAACTAAAAGGAAGGTGATAGGCGCAATAGTCTTGAGGAGGTGAAACATGTTCGCCCTTTTGAAACGCTGTTATTTTACTCTTTTGTCCTTGTCAAGATCCGGAACAGCAAACCTGTGAATCTGTGTACACAAATCTTCTACAGATTTCGATTGTGTGCCATAGATCAAAACGGTTCGAGTCATCGGCACTCTCGTTCTTGCGTCCAGAACTACATAGACACATGGATCTAACAGCGACTACAAGGAAAGTTGGTGATTTCATACGCTGTCGATAAGCGGAAGGCAGGGACGTCACGTGGGCTCTTCCAATAAAATGTCTTATGACTGCATAGGACACGGTGAGTTATACGCTCCCACGATAAAGCATGACGAAACTGAGCCATCTCCATTGGTGCAGTAGTATTGCTTGATGAAGGGAACACTGGCTTTCCGCAAAACAAAACGCTTACTTTCGCCGTTAAGAATTAAACGCAGACACGAAACGTGAGCAATGCTTCAGAAACATCCACTGTCGAAGGCCAAAAGCCAGAGCACGTCACCCCAGGAACTGAGTAGAACTCGAACGAAAGCGAAGTAAAAACGTTCCTATGAGTTTCATGGTCAACATGAGAATGGAGAAGAATCACGATGGGAATGGATACCTATGTCCGAATAAAAGGCTCAACGCATTAGACCCACACCGCACAAAAGTCGTGTTCGTTGAGCAGTCTAAACATTTAGTTTTACATCGAGGGAAAAAAGTTTCATGTTTAGCTGCTCAAGCGCGAATCCGTTAATCGGATGGGTAATATAAGATCAATAAGGAGCAATAACTTAATAAAATATCAAACAAAAGCGGGACGCGATAAGACCGGGCTCGTCCATGGCCACCGTAACGTCCAAAAGGAACTTTGATGTATCCCCAACCTGGATTGCTTACATGAGGACACGGTATCTCTTTTCCCTAATTATCTTGCTCATTTACACTGCTTTACTGTGTCCTACAAGCGGTTAACATATCGTATATTTATTCCTTTCACTCGATCACTGACACATCTTTGACGTTTCAAGGTCATTCATATTATTATGTTACTGTGACACTGCCCAAATACTCGCTCTGCCCCACGCTGTACAGCTTCTGCCAACTTGCATTACGATTGCAAAACCTATTCGTCAGTCATGTACTGTATTTAATATGCATTACAGAACCACGGTTACAGGATAATTCGTTTATTCTTCTACCCAGACCGTGCGTTAAGTCTAGGTTTATTTGTTCGTAGTTTCTAGTTTAGTTTTCGTACGACGTACTTAGTTTAGGCTTAGTATCGTTGGTACATAAGTTGAATAGGGCAATCATGTCCGTTTCTGGTGATTCTCTTGGTGATGTTAACGTTACTGATGCTGAGAAACTTCGAAGAGCTGAATCCCGTATTCGTCAGTTGGAGTCGGCTTTAACGAGCATGCGCATGTTGCAGGCGAATAAGGTTTATGTTAAGGACTACTGCGAACCTGAATTTGAGTCGGATGCGCTTATTAATGAACGATCGCGATTTATTCCGGCCGACGATTGTGTGCTTCCTCCCGAATTTGCCATCTGCTCGTCATTTGTGAAACCTGTTAATAGGGGTTCGCACGTCACAGTCTGTAGCTCAGTTGGTTGGTCCGTCGGCATCCGTTGGTACCCGCGTTCGATCCCAGTCGGGGGCGTTTTGCTCCAGCCTTCTGGCTGACAGTAACCTGTGTCCGGAAGGCAAATCTAGCGATTTTGGACCCAGTACGTCATCCTGTCTTCCAAAACGCGAACCGATAACATTGGATGGAGATCCTGTCCGCTATTGGATGTTTATGCGATGCTTCGAAGCGAATGTTTCCAGAACTACTTCCGATCCAACTATCAGGTTTTCATATCTGATACAGTACTGTTGTGGCGAAGCCAAAGAAGCTATCGAAAGTTGCTTAATACTCGACCCTTGTGAAGGTTTTGAAGAAGCAGTGAACATTTTGCGCAGACGCTTCGGACGGCCCCACATGATTGCTAGGACTCACATTAATGCTCTAACTGATGGCCTTAACATCAGGCCCAATGATTTCGCGGCTCCGTTTCGTTTAGCTGTGGAACCGTTCATGCTACTTAACGTTGAAACAATTGAGGTATAAATCCGATTTGAACGCGTCCAGAACAATCAGCTCTATCATCAGGAGGCTGCCCAACCATATGCAATTCAAGTGGGCCGAGCATGCCGCCAGAGTTATCCGCACCGAAAGAGAATCGAACTTCATGGATTTGACAGATTTCGTGGATGAAACCGTAGACATCGTCGATACTTATTTGTCCTTTGCCGCACGTCCCTGCGGACCACCCGCCATCACCGATAGAGGCAGAAGCTTAAACTCTCGAGGATATGCCGCTTGCCTAAACATTGCAGCTTCATCAGAACGAAATTTCCCTAAACGTCTTTCCTGTGAACAACGCCGCAACAGACATCAGTGGCGGCAATGTTGTTCCGCAATTTCACCATCCCTTTGATACACACAAAAACTCACAAAACAAAACAAAAAATACGAAATGGCGTGTGTAAAACCAAAAAAATTCGTTTCCCATATTTTTTTAATCGCATTAGTGTCCCCATCTTCTTCACCTTTTTCTTCTGCCATGGTTCTGATGGCACAATGTCTGTTAACAGACTGTGAATATATATATATATATATATATATATATATATATATATATATGTGAACAACGCCACTACCTAGATCAGTGCGATGATTTCCGCAATCTCAGCCTCAACAAACGTCTTGAATTCTGTCGCGCCCATAGACTGTGTCAGCTCTGCCTCAAACCAAATCATGACCGACAATTCGCACTGATGAGGCTTGCCATGTTGAAGAATGCCGCACTGCGCCAAGCATACACCAAGGCAGTGGAAGAATATGTATTTAGAGAATATGCTGAACTCGCTCCAGTACAGGAACAGCAGAAAAAAGGGGAAACCTGGTACATACCCCACCACTCGGTATCGCATCCCCGTAAGCCCGGCAAAGTGCGAGTGGTCTTCGATTGTCAAGCTTCATCCCGTGGAACTTCTCTCAATCAACAACTTCTATCTGGTCCCAATATGTCAAACAGTCTAGTGGGGACGCTTTTACAGTTCAGGTTTCACCCGATCGCCGTCGCGTCCGACATTGAAGCAATGTTTCATCAGGTTAAGGTTCCTATTAAGGATCGGAATTGTTTGAGGTTCCTGTGGTGGGAGAATGGCAATCTTTGTTCACCCCTTATTGAATACCGCGTGACTGAACATCCGTTTGGCGCTACTTCGTCACCAAGCTGTGCTAACTTTGCATTACGACAAGCTACCATTGACAGTTATTGCGAATCTCAAACAAAGGCTAAAGAAGTAGCAGAGAACTGTTTTTATGTCGATGATTGTTTATTTAGCGTTGACTCAGTTCCCGAAGCAACTGAACTCGTTATACACCTTACCCGTATACTGTCCGACGGAGGATTTCATTTGACGAAATGGATCAGCAATCGAAAGGAGATTATCGCGCATCTACCTGACAGCGAACTGAAGGTTCCCGGAATAAGATATTCGACTGGGGACGATTGTGTTACAACTGCGCTTGGTTTAAACTGGAACGTCACCAGGCCCATCTAACTTTTATGCTGGAAGGTTTTAATAAAATGTTGACCCGAAGAGCCATCCTCTCGTTTGTAGCTTCCGTTTATGATCCTCTCGGCCTCATTGCTCCCGTGCTACTTCCGGCAAAGGTAGGGTTACAGAGTTTCGTAAAAAGAAAGCTGGATTAGGATGAGCCTCTTCCCACAGAGGACCAGCAAGCTTGGAGCAAATGGTTATCAAACGCCAATGGTCTAAACAGTTTGTACGTCGAACGTTGTATTAATCCATTCGGATGCAGTGTATCTTCTATGCAGTTGCATTGTTTTTCGGATGCGTCTGAGGATGGTTAGGGTGCTGCTTTATATTTGCGTTGCGAGGTTGATAAAGGCAACGTTAGTAGTCTCCTGATTATTAGTAAATCACGTGTCAGTCCCATTAGAACGGTGTCGATACCAAGGTTGGAGCTCACTGCTGCCGTACTGAACGTGCACATGTCAGCGAAAGTCAGAGAGGAGATGGCACTCCATTGCAGCACAACGTTCTGGACAGACTCGATGGTAGTTCTGAAACTTCTTCGAAGTGATAATAGGCGTTTCCCGACGTACGTTGCTAACCGGATTACCATTATACAACAATACTCTCACCCCAGTCAGTGGCGCTACGTAAATTCGAAGCAGAACCAGGCTGATATAGCCTCACGTGGACTCTCGATGTCGCTCAAGAAGGAAATACACCAATGGTTACATGGGCCACAATTTCTCGTTCAGCCCTCTTCCTCATGGCCTATGCATCCGGAGAATCTGGGTGAATTACCGCTTGAATGGTTACGACTTGAGGTTGGTCATGTTTTCTTGGTCACTTTGGAGGAGCACTGGGTTAATAAATGTAAGGCTTGCCCGACATGGACTTCCCTGCGCAAATATTTCGTTACCTTCTCGCGATTCAAATCTTATTTCGTCGCCAAATACCTGAGGCGCGTTTCACCTGACCAACCAGCTGAAATAGAAAGTGCTGAAATTCGACAAGCTACGCTTCACATAGTTAAGTCGGTGCAGTCAGAAGCTTTTGCGGATGAGATGCGCCTCCTTGCATACAACGAACCCAACATAGCAGTTCGAAATTTAAAACTTTGATGTATCCCCAACCTGGATTGCTTACATGAGGACACGGTATCTCTTTTCCCTAATTATCTTGCTCATTTACACTGCTTTACTGTGTCCTACAAGCGGTTAACATATCGTATATTTATTCCTTTCACTCGATCACTGGCACATCCTTGACGTTTCAAGGTCATTCATATTATTATGTTACTGTGACACTGCCCAAATACTCGCTCTGCCCCACGCTGTACAGTTTCTGCCAACTTGCATTACGATTGCAAAACCTATTCGTCAGTCATGTACTGTATTTAATATGCATTACAGAACCACGGTTACAGGATAATTCGTTTATTCTTCTGCCCAGACCGTGCGTTTAGTCTAGGTTTATTTGTCCGTAGTTTCTAGTTTAGTTTTCGTACGACGTACTTAGTTTAGGCTTAGTATCGTTGGTACAACCATTATGAACAGGTCCTGAAATGCAGCATGGGGGACGAACAAAACTAAAAATACCTCCAATGATCGGAAGGGTGGGAGTTAGTTTACATAAATTCTTGGTACAAATTCTTGCGTGTCACAGTATAAACATATAGTTGGAACCGCGAAACTCAACAATGAAGCCGAAACTAATGCCAGGTGTTATTAGAGGAAATAGCTCGAAACATCGGTAGTCGGTTGGGTCGTTTAGTCGATGAGCAATTCCCGGGGCTAAAAAGTTTGGCGCAGACATTTCTTCATTGGGAGATGTGGGATCTTCTATGCACATGCAGATAGTAGGAAAATTTCGGTGAATATTCTAAGACCCCAGATAATTTCTGCCTGCATCCCATGACAGGATTTGTACGTTTCGCATGCGTTAGGTAGAGATAGCAGATCGGCAACCCCTGCTAGGGACGCGGAGGCTACTGGCTGTAGGCTGTACCACTATAGACGACACAAAAAAGCAATAAATGCTCTCGGGTTTAAGATGCCTCAAGCAAAGTGGCCTACTTACATTGTAGCACAGTGTCTATAAACGGTAGCTTTGAAGCACGTTTTTTGTATGCAAACAGACTAGATTTCGTCATGGAGAGGGAAATGTTACTGTTATTTATAGAACAGTATTCTAGAGCAAATTGAACGCACTGACAACAACAGACACATGAGCAGCGCACGTATATCCATAAGTCCACAAAGCACGGCTGGGCCTTTAAATCGGTCGTTGCCTTTTCACTGGAATATCACTTTTACTTTATATACCACGGATTCAGCACTATACACCGGGTATACTTGACACTTTCTTGGGTTATATTATTTCCAGGTCACTGGCGTTGTACTGCTCTGATTTTTAAAACGTGCTTTGAGATGCTGCTGTAGCGCGCCGGATTGTCGCTATAGAAAGTGAACAGCCCTCTCGATCTAGTACGACCCACGTACGGGCAGGACACGGAATCCTTCGGAGCACTCAACCGGACGCATAGTACAGCTGCGTGTGCTACGCGTAAATTTATCAAAAGCGCTTTTATAACTTAAAGAACCATCGTTACGATTGACAGACTGGAATCCGACACTGCATCTTCAACAAAAAAACAAATGCCAGTGATTTACTTTTTCGACAGAAATTATTACATATATGTACGGGACCGTATTCGGGTGACACCCCTGCACCTGATGCAAATGTTGCTATCGATAAAGTTGTATTTTAAAAATTGCCATTTTAAGCCATCAGCGGTAGTTATTGTAAAATGCTGAAAATGCACCCTTTCGGTTACATAAAGCCTATATTGGCTTGACTTGAATAGAGAGATCAGGGGAAGGAAAGACTTACGAAAAAGAGAGAATAGGGGCACTGCAACTCACCACTTCGGATAGCCTTTTAAGCACGAACACCCTCCGAATCACCAAGGTGCGAGGAAAGTTCAGCTCGTAGCATAGGGTTGGTGCAAATATGAAGTAATAAAGATCTCCCAGCGTTATGTTATCTGGATAGAAAACATAATGTCCGAGTCCAATCTCATTGCATTTGAGTGAGGGAACTAGACCGTGCGGTTCCAACTCCAGAGTGTCTAACAGTGTTCGGTATTCGGTCGCCGCGTTGAGGTTGGTCCGCACTAATAGAAATCGAAATAGTGTGATTAAATTAAAAGATTATCACCATCACCATGATATACACATATATTGCGCAGCAATACAAACAGTAAAAGTAAGGTAAAAGTAAAAGTAAAGTAAAAAAGTGAAAGAACCGAGATGAAAGCGGAACAAAAATATTAATATGCTTTGTTTCATATTAGGCATTGGCGACAAAATCCTGGTTAGAAAAGGATACGTGGGATAAACAAACTCGCAACACACGCCAAGTAGGTCAGTTCTACGCCATGTCAACAAGTGAATCCAACTAAACGTGTTTATGTCCTTAAAAACCCTAATCCAGCAGTCAGAAGATACCAATCGACACCAGATTCGAAGTAAGGGTCTTTAATCCTCCAAGTTGTCGGTAAGTAACCAAAATTTAAATCGCTTCACCACTTCCTTGTACATAATCATAATTTTATGCTCCCACTTGATGCACCTTTTTGTGTTCCTCTTGCCATTTCCTTGATAGCTCAGGTAGTAGCAATTAGATCCAGCTCACCTAGGCTCCATTATCATATTTGATGAGGCCCATTGCTAGGGTAATGCCACTTGCGCTGACTGTCCCTCATGGTATCTCTAGCGACTCTTCACCCTGCTATATCTGGGTGCCGGGCATCTGCTCAGTTTAATGAAGGTTTAAGCCTTCCAAACAAGGACAACTTGACTGAGCGCTGCCTTCTTGATCGAGGTCTGCCCGTTGAACCAAGTTGATTGTTGTGTGACCAACCTGCGTCCTAGTCTCCGTGTCAGGGGCTCTTCCATTTTTGTCATTGTTTTGTTTTTGCACCTTAATATTATCAACACTCGCAATTCCGTTGTTTTGGCACATACTGCCACCCGTATCTCACTCCGGTTCCTGGGACCTGGGTGTTGCGCTTCCGCACTCTTAGTGACCAACGAGACCCACCAGTTGAGAAAACATCAGCAATTAGCTTATGATTCAGTTAATTCATCATCGTCACTCCCAATCAGCCGGCTGAGCTCATGTCACCCAGTGAACGACTACTCACGTTTGCTATATGATTGTCAGCTTTTGTTTTACCGCCTGACCGTTCACAGACACTTGTTGAGATGTATGCTCATTTAAGTGGAATGCCTGAAAATGAGCTTCTTTAAGTAACGCGCAGCCGATAGTGCCACTCAGTTGAATGGGCTCCTCATGTCTTTACTCTTTTCGTTGGTTTTAATTCAAACAATCGGCCGACCACGATCTTCATGCTACTGTCAATACTGAGACAATGAACCAGAACACCTGTGGTGTCATCACTGTCTGTAGCAAACACACTGATGCTAATTTACTCGACTGGATTCCAACGAATAGTGGCATGGATTGGATTTGACTTCGAACCTCGATTGGTATGACTTATGCCGTCTGAAGATAAGGTGCCTTTTTACCAGGGGTTATAGCTATTAGCGCGTAAAAACTGAATTGCGGTGTATCGGTCCAATTACCCTGGTAGCTGTATCATTGGCGGCCACATCAATGAGGAGGTTAATTCGCGTATCAGTAAGGCCCCTGTGGTGTCCCAGAGGCTGAATCATCTATGGAGGCTGATGGGCGTAAGCGTGTTAGCGAAAGGTGGGGTGTATAGTTCGCGATAAAACTGGCGTTACACACACAGACTGTGAGTGAAGAAGTATGTTGGTATCACCGCCAATACGGTGGAAGAGCTAGACGTTGTCGGGCTCCCTGCATTAGGCACGACCCTGTAATATATTCCGGATGGCAGGTTCGAGACACGGACGAGAAGTCCCGGCTACAAACGAACGACACGTGAGAATCAGCGACCGAGTAACTAACACAGTAGCTCGTACGAAACGGCAATCATGCAAAACGACGATGCTTTAATGAGTCGAACACAAGAACGAGCAAGCTGGACCGAGACAGATGTATTCGACAGCGCGGCATGCGAACAGCGTGGTCCACGGCAAGCAAGTATATAAACAACGAGTTTACAAGAAACAGGTACTGGGGCTTGGCTTTTGATTCCCTCCATTCATTGTGCATTCGGTCCGCCAAGCCCTGTAAAATAAGCAAAGGAGACATTAGTCATGGTGGTCAATTTAAACAATACATTGCGGTTTCAACTGTACTACACCCAGGGAAAACGAATAGCCCGCGTACTAGCACTACAAACGCATAATTCAATAACCAAGCAAACCGACTGTTTTACGTTAAGGATCGACGTTCTTCCATCACCTTCCTCATCGACACGGGAGCGGAAGTCAGCGTCATCCCAGCGACCGCTAGCGACAAGCACTCGGAGCCTAGGTACAATTTGCGTGCGGCCAACAGTTCTCCGATAGCTTCATACGGTCAGCGCAAGATGAACCTAGACCTCAAGCTTCGCCGAGATTTTCAGTGGGTCTTCATGGTTCCGTCTGTACCTTTCGCAATTATCGGTATTGACTTCCTCCGACATTTTGTGTTGCTTGTTGATGCTGGTCGCCACAGACATTTAGACGACCCTACGAAACTAGGGGTTGATGGTGTCCTTTCAGATGCCCCGCTAATCAGCCCTGTATTTCGGATCGCAGACGCACCGTCCGACTACTTGAGCCTCCTCTCCGAATACCCGCGACTGGTTCGACCGGCTGCAGAGCTTCCACCAGTCACAACAGAGGTCGCTCACCACATAGTTACGCGCGGTCAACCAGTTAGCGCACGGCCAAGACGGCTTGCTCCAGACAAACTACGGGCAGCATGAGCCGAATTTGACCACATGCTTCAACTTGGTATCGTCAGACCGTCCAACAGCCCATGGGCGTCGCCTCTGCACATGGTCCCGAAGAAGGTTGTGGGGGACTGGCGTCCTTGCGGCGACTATCGATCCTTGAATACGTTAACCACGCCTGATCGCTATCCGATCCCACACATAGTGGATCTCACCGCCAGTCTGGCGGGTAGAAATATCTTCAGCAAAATCGACTTGGTACGCGCATACAACCAAATTTCGGTAGCCGAGGCGGACATCGCTAAAACTGCCGTGACGACTCCATTTGGTTTGTTCGAGTTTCTGCGCATGCCATTTGGCCTAAAGAACGCCGCGCAAACTTTTCAGCGTTTCATCGACCAAGTTTGTCGCGGTTTAGACTTCGCTTACGCGTATCTTGACGACATATTAATCGCAAGCTCTTCACGAGAAGAGCACATACGCCACGTACGAACACTTTTTGAGCGTGTATCTCAACACGGGGTGACGATCAACGCAGAAAAGTGTTCGTTTGGTGTCGATTCAGTTATTTTCCTGGGCCATCGTATCTCTTCTGCAGGCGTCGTGCCACTGCAGGATAAAATTCAAGCCATTATCGACTACCCCGAGCCTCATTCTTTCAAACAGCTCAGACGTTTTGATGGCCTGGTCAACTTTTACCGTCGATTTATACCCAACTGCGCTTCGCTGATGCAACCCCTCACGGATCTTCTCCGAGGGAAACTCAAGAAGTTCGATTTTCCTGCCGCAGCACGCGCTGCTTTTAAGTCGCTGAAAAAGGCTATCGCCAACATAGCTTCTATAGCGCATCACGATCCGGCCGCCCCACTGTCCCTCAGTACTGACGCCTCGGACGTGGCAGTCGGCGCTGTTTTACAGCAACGAGTATCCGACACTTGGCAGCCCTTAGCGTTTTTCTCCAAACGCCTACAACCGACGGAATCTCGTTACAGCACGTTCGGTAGAGAACTACTAGCAGTGTATCTAGCGATACGTCACTTTCGACACGTCTTAGAAGGCCGCTCCTTTGCCGTCTTCACCGACCACAAACCCCTGACTTACGTGCTCGGCTCGACTACCGACCGATACTCTCCTAGAGAGTCACGCCACCTTGACTATATCGCTCAGTTTACGACCGATATACGGCATGTCTCAGGTGTGCACAACGCCGTCACCGATGCACTTTCCCGCATTCAAGCTATTTCCGCTGACGCCGGCACTGCTATCGACTTGGCAGCCATGGCCACAGCACAACTCAACGATCCTGAGGTTGATCTACTACGCAGGTCTCCCTCATTGGATATACGACCCGTTCCGCTGACATCAGCAGATGGAACGATACTCTGCGACTTATCTCTGGGCACGCCGCGCCCAGTCGTCCCACGCGAGTTTCGGCAGACCGTGTTCGACGCGTTGCACGGCTTGTCTCATCCAGGCGTTCGTGCATCGGTTAAACTCGTGACCGCACGATTCGTTTGGCGCAATGTCAATCGGGACGTTCGTACCTGGGCAGCTGCTTGCCTTCCGTGTCAACGCGCGAAGGTGCACAAGCACACGAGAAGCCTATTAGGCACGTTTCCGACGCCAGACGCACGTTTTCATCACGTGCACGTCGACCTCGTAGGTCCTCTACCGCCTTCCAAAGGCTCTGTATATCTACTGACCTGCATCGATCGATTTACTAGATGGCCTGAGGCCGTCCCCATCCCAAATTGCTCCTCGGGAACGGTAGCGAAAGCTTTTATGGAGCGCTGGGTAGCTCAATACGGCTGTCCCGCCATCGTGACCACCGATCGAGGGTCACATTTCTCGTCGACATTTGCCATGTTGCTTAAGGATTTAGGCTGTCGCCACGTCCAGACGACGGCGTATCATCCGGCCGCTAACGGCATGGTGGAGCGTTTTCACCGCCAGTTGAAGGCAGCGCTACGTGCGCACGCAGATCCTTCATGGTCTGAAACGCTTCCCCTCGTTCTTCTAGGCTTAAGAAACACGGTTAAAACCGATTTCGACGCCACACCAGCGCAGCTAGTCTACGGTTGCACGCTGCGGTTGCCCGGACAGCTGGTAGCACCAGCCCCATGTACTTCCACTTCTGACTACGGAAGTTGCACTGACCGATTGGCTCACCAGATGCGTGAGCTACGTCCACTCGCTCCTCGATCGCAGAAGACACCAGTGTGCGTGCCCGAGAAGCTGTCTACGTGTTCCCACGTCCTTCGCGCAGACGGTGTTCGACAGCCTCTTCAGTCGCCGTACGTAGGACCATACAAGATGCTGCATCGTGCGAGTAAGGCGTACACTATTGACCGCGGTGGTCGACACGAAGTCGTCACCATCGACCTTCTGAAACCCGCCTTTATGGAAGAAACTACCTCGCCTACTTCGTCTAGTAGTGCCTCGTGCGACGTGACAACTCACCGTACTAATTTTCCGCATGCTAGTGAAGTCCAACCAGACCACGATCACGGTCTGCAAGCTTCAGCAGTCCCGACATCACCCGAACCTAGTCCGCCGCCTCCCACGACCAATCGCCGTGGTCGGGAGGTACGTAAGCCCGTTCGCTTCTCCGACTATGTACAGTGTAAATACTTTTAACTTTGTAGATATTGTATATATTTGCCTCATTTTTGGTCGATTAACGTTTTGAAAACAAACAAAAATACCAAAACCCCCCGAAAAACCTTTTCAAAAAATATTCAAAAACCAAAAAATATTTAAACACGCAGATCATTCGTTTGTTCTTTTTGGCGTTTTCTGCGCGTGTTTTTCTATTTTCTCGTCCTTACATGCCCCAACCCTCCCCTTCGATCGACTGGCCCACACGAGGAATGTTTTCGAGGACCCTGACGCGAACACTGGTTGTTTCTCCGCGGGACGAGTGTCGCTTCTCCGTGGGACCATGGTCGTTTCTTCGTGGGACGAGGGTCGTTTTGGCGCGGGGCGGGGTGCGGCGGGGGGAGAGACCACTCCCAAGCGCACCGTTTGGCAGCAGCGGAGGTTGAGGTCCTGTCGGCCTTTTTCTGGACTAGCCAGTTTTTTGTAGTCCGACAAGCCCGCTCCAACGGCTCGCCGAAATGCACCCTGCCCTGCATTCAATAAATAACAAATCATA